CCAGCCCTAGACCCCACTGTACTTGTGCAGGGCAATACCCCCCCTACAATGCAACCCTCCCATGCAATGCAATGCAATGCCTCCCCCCCATACAGTGTATGCAGTGCAACCCCCCTCGCGCAATTCAACCTCCCATGCAATGCCCCCCCGTGCAGTGCATGCAGTGTCCCCCGCCCTGCTCACGCCGCCTCCTCCTCGCCGCGCAGCGCCTCGCAAAGCTGCGCCGCTAGTTCAGTCATTACGGCCGCACTCCGAACGTCCCGCCGCGCCCCACTGCGCCTGCGCGCCCCGCCCGCTCCTCATTCGTCGCTGCCGCAGCCAATAGGAAGCGTGGCTAGGGGACAGTCCGCCGCGGAGTGGCTGGGCCGAAGGGAGCGAGCCCTTGCCACCTCCCCCCGCCTCTGTGCTCAAGGGGCAGCTGGTTCGAGTCCCGACCCCGCCGGGGCAGGACCGGGCCTGCCAACCCCAGTGCACCGGGGGGGGGCGGGGGCGCGGGTACTGGCCCGCCTGCTCCTCCCTCAGGAGACGGGGCACCAGGTTTTCACATCCATTAAATGCGATGCAAAAACCTCAGTCCTGCCTGCATCCCACAAGCAACACGGAGGGGCCAATGCCGATGCACGGACACCTGGGGACAGATGCAAAACACATGTCCCTGCATGGGGTTCATGACGCACGCGAGAACAAAAGCCTCACACGCAACGATGCCTTTACACGTGTGTCTTTATTCACAGACTCCGGTGTGCGGGCAGCTTCTGGGGGAAAAAGAAAGTCGGGTCCTTACCTCCGTTTCACTGCAGTGGCCTTTTACAGGTCACAGCTGTTCTAGCCAGCAAGCTAAAGCTCAAGGAGTACACGGATGTACTTTTTATTTTTTAAAGTTGAGTTCACTCAGGAAAATGCTACCTATGTTGGGCTAGAACGGAGGACCAGCCCCTCCAACACCTTTCTCTGGCAAGGCAAAGATCTGACCTTTTAATTGGAAAAGACAGAAGTTAAAGGCTATTCAGACGGCATCTCTGTAAGGAGCATTTGAGGCGCAACCAGCTTCCTACAGACTTGCCTGCCGTCCCGCAGGGAGTGAATTAAGTGAGAGGCCGTCTGCATTTCATTGCCAACAGCCCCATGGAGGCCCATGACACCATGAGAGCCAGCCTCCTGGGCTGCACCCTGGCGGGCGCTGCACAACCAAGTTACACGGTGGCTTCGATCTCGGCGGGCTCCTCTTCCTCCAGCAGGCTGTACGAGGCGTGGGTCTGGAACGGCCGCTGCAGGGGATGCGCCAAGAGCTTGGCCATGCAGTTGTGCAGCTCCACGGCAGGCCCCGTCAAGGACACCTCGTACTTGTAGTTGGTGCCTTTGGTGTCCAGGTTGCTGAAGAAGGCGTACATCTCCTAGGGAGGGAAGCAGCAACCCGACATCAGTCAGGGACACGCTGGGCTGCAGACAAGGGACTGGGGTGAAGGAACTGGGGTGAAATGGGCCCCCAAGATGTAGCGAGGTTGTTTGCAAACTCCTTGGATGCCCTTGCTGTTCCACATGCAGAGGATCATTAGCTGTTGCTACCCTCGATGCTCACACTTGTTCATTAAGAACGGTGCTGGCTGAAGCTGGACTTGGACTGGCAACTTAGCAAGACAACATCCATCCCATGGGAACATTTCAGAGGTAAAAGCTTTGGCACTTACTGGCTCCAGAGATCACTGCACAAAGGGGCTAGAGCTGAGACATGAAACCATGCAATGCCCAAGAGCACGAGTCAGGTCCGACCCTTGTTCATGCCTTGCAAGCAGAGCCATTTTTAGACACAGTGACTGGGTCTGGCATGCAGGGAGGCACCTACGTCCTGGCTGCACGCACACCACAGGCCCCACTTACCTTCCAGCTCGTCTCGTCCTCCTTGTCTTCGGCCCCGTTGTGGATGTACACCACGTCAAAGAAGAAATACGGGCACTGAAGCATTTTCTGCCCAGAGAGAAAGGAAATGTCCCATCTCACTGCAGAGCCTCACTGCAGAGATCCAGGGACAGAGCCCAGGACCCAAGGAGACATGGCTACGAGAGACAGCTTCCCAGCCTGGAGACAGCACGGTCACCGCAAAAGCAGGTGCACGGCCACAATCCACCACGATGGGCCTCAGCCCCCTCCTCCCAGGGGCACTTTGCCCTGTACTGAGAGATGGGGAAGCAACTGGGTCCTCCTGGTCCTGCCCCGGCTGTAGTTGTGGGGGCAGATTTTGTGCCACAGACACGTGCCCAGCAGGAAGCGAAGTAAACCTAAGCTGGATTCAGTCTGGCTCTTGTGCAACTGCAGCTGCTGTTCGTTGGGCCATGTTTGGGCAAAGGGATCTACTGCCCGTTACTCAGCCGGAGCTGTCCAGCCCCAGCCTGCGGAAAAGTCACCTTCCTCAGGGGACCGTCCAAGCCAGGCTGGCAGAGCTGGGGAGCAGCAGTGGACGTTGCTGACTCGTTAGGAGGGGCGGATGACCAGCAGCCCTGGCAGACAGAACAACTGCTCTGCCCTGGGGGGACCCCGCAGGGTACAGCACGGAGGCAGGAGCAAGGAACCCAGGGAACACTCACCTTCATCTGCTCCGTCATGGAGAATTGAGGCTGGCAGGCCGGCCGGCTGTACACCAAGATGGTCCTCACCACGTAGGGGGGTGGGATGGTCTGCACGTTCTCCGTGACTGGCAGCTCGATCTTCTGCTGTCTGCGCCATGACGAGACACAAGCCGGGGGTCACAGTGCCCCTGCCTCATGAAGTCACAGGCTGAGCAAGCGTGTGCACAGATGCGGAGCTCCTGCCCTGCTGCAGGTGCTCGCTGGGTGCCCACAAAGGCAGTCCCAGACCCCACTCAAGCCAGACAACGGGGTGAAGGAGTCTGAGCTAAACAATGCAGCCTGTGGTGCTCCCTGACAGCAGATGGGAGGACCAGGATATTGGCTGTATGTCACACGGGAGCAGGGAGCCTGACCCTGGGAAGAAGCAGACACAGAGCCGCCCGGCCCCACACTTGCTGCAGTGGCACTCAGGGATTTTGAAGCTGCTGCTTGCTCATGGGAGCAGATCGTTGGGTTCCTTTTGCATGATACCATGGATATCCCTAGCACGCTTCGCTGCTTTCCCCCCCACACTAGAAGCTGCCATGAAGTGCCCTGGATACTGGCCTCACCACCACCACCCAGGGGAACTATACAAGCAACACTGCACTGCAACACCTGCTTCCCCGAGAGCAGCCAACTTACATGAGGTTGAAGAGGCCTTCTAGATCTGGAGCCCGAGATAAGGACTGGTCAGCCCAGGCAAGCGTCCCATCCCACACGGACACCCTGCTTTGGGTGGATGCTCTTGGGCACATCCTTGACCTTGGTGTTAGGGGCCAGGGCACGATGGGGGGCTGCCCAGATGGGCACGATCTGCAGAAGTGTGCAGGGCCCAGAAAAGGGGCTGATCAGGGACCAGCACTGACAGAGGAGCTGGCAGCTCTTGCCACCCAGTCAGTCTCTCCATGCTGGCACCCTACAGGGTCCAAGACTCTCACAGGGTTTAGTGTATGCATCCTCCCCGCCACCCTGGGGCTATGACCCTGTCACGCAGATGGGGAAGCTGCACCAGGGAGAGCTGTGACCAGCCCAGGGGCACACTCCCGGTGTTCCTAGCACTGCACCTCCCTCCTGGCTCATGCCCCCGGGGACACCTGCAGTCCTTGCTCTGGGAGAGCATGGCGACACTCTTCTGCTGATGCCTGCTGCCATCTCCTGGCAGAAGAGCGGATGGCAAGGACGCCCCAGGACACTGACGGACTTGTCTGGTTCTACCCACAGCCTCCATCCCAGGAAGGGGTTTCAACCGCTTTGTGGCCCAGGGTCCCTCTCACCTAACAGCCCTGGGCCTGCCTGCCCCCGTCAAAGGATACTGAAGGATGTGCAGCCGACGGTCTCCAGGTCGTACAAACAGCTGCAGACTTCCCTGGGGTCGGAGGTGAAGCCGGAGAGCTGGGGAGAGATGGGGCAAGTTAAGGGAGGGTGACGGATGCCCCCTCCGGATCGCGCCTGAGCAGGGCGAGGCAGAGGCAGTGCAGCACCGTGCACACAGGGCCCCGAGACTGCTCTGGGAGACACCGCGCCCAGCGCAGAGGACTGAGGCTGGAAGGGGCTCGGGGGGGGGGTCAGCAGAACTCAGGGTTCGTGTCCTCTTTACAAGGAGGGGCGGTCAGTGGGGATCAGGGCCCGGCACGTGGCTGGCGCTGGGATGGCCTCACTCACCCATGTAGCATCGTTGTTCACCACCACCAGGGCGAACTCATGGCACTTGTCGATCTTGTGCTTCGTCCTGACGAACATCTCGATCATCTTCTGAGAGATGTTCAGGGCGTTCGTTTTTGACCTGCCGAGGGCGCGCGAGGTCCAGACATTTGCTGGGACCTCCCTCCCTCCCTCCCTTCCCCCATAACCCTCCCCCACCAATTGCATCTTCAGGGCATGCTGAAGGGCCAGATACTGATCCCTGTGCCGGTCCAGGCCTAACCCCTCTCTGGGTCCTTTTCCTGCCTGCACCAAGGTGTCAGACTAGGCTGTGAGACGCTGGCCTGACACCTGGAGCCCAACACAGACAGACCTGCCTACTCTCACGGGCTTCTCCTGCACCAGGCCCAAGAGGCCTTGCTGTGGGTAGACCCCAAACAGCTTCATCCCCATTTTACAGCTCGGGAAACTGAGGCACAGAGCCGAGAAGAAACCTGCCCATGATCATACTGCGAGTGCCCGGTACAGCCGGGACTGGGATCCAGGTCTTGGCGTTCTCCCCCTGGTGCGCAGCCCACGGCCCGTGCTGCGGGCCTTCCCCGGGCGCAGGGCTGCTCACCCGTTAAAGGACTCCAGCTTCGGCAGCGACATCTCCTCGGACAGGTCCAAGCAGATGATCTGCAGCAGAGAGAGTAGCAGGGTCAGCCTGTTGCCACACCCAGCGCCACCCCCTTTCGGTATCGTGCCAGCTGCCCCGAAGGGTCCGATTGGGCTCCCTCCGCTGCGGGACCCGGGTCCGGGCCGCGAGGGCAGACGGGGCCCCGCACTCACCACCTTCTCGGGGCAGTTGACTCTGGGCGTCTTGACCTGGAACTCGACGGGGGGCGCCGGGACCTGCCAGGCCTTGGCGCTGGGTGCGGCGGTGCCCTGCGGGCTGTCGTCGGCACTGGCCGCCTCGCCCTCGCCCTCGCTGCGGCTGCCCACGCTGGCCTGTGCGCTCAGGGCCCGGTCCTCGGCCCCCTCAGGGTTGGAGCGGGTGCGGGGCCGCTGCTCCGACGCCTTCTCCTCCTCCTCCTCGGCTGCGCTGCCTGGCTCCGAGGTGTCCATCAGGGACCCGCGCTCCACCGGCGACTCCAGCCTGAGGCCGCGAGCGGCTCCCTGCGCCCGGCCGGGGGTGTCCGGGGCTGGCGCTGCCAAGGGCAAGCAGAAGGGAGGTGTCCTGAACCCTGCGCTGACCAGCACCCCG